TCTCTTTTTCTTTAGGCAGGGTGCGACCCCCGGAGGGATGGAGAGATACCGGGATGGGGGGATGCGGCGGGGGCTTCCCCCGGCGTCCCTCACCAGACGGGGCGGGCAAGGGAGGGGGGAAAAAATAATAAAATAAAAGAAATTTAAAAAAGGAAGGGGGGTCGAAGGGAATTTCCGCGCGGTGCCGCGGGCGGGAGGTGATGGCGGCGGGGTCCGGAGCCGGGAAGGGGGGGCAGAGAGGAGAAACCCCCCCGTCGGTGTGTGTGTGGGGTGTGGGGAGGGGGGGAGGCCTCCGCGGGGACCCCCCCGGGGTCATCCCCGGGCCCGGCAGGGAGGAAAGTTTGCGCAGGTAGCGCGCACCCCCCCCGCACCCCCGCGGCGGCCGTGCGGAGCGGCGCTGAGCGCTCAGCGTTTCGGAGGATCGCTTGTCAGTTGCTATTAAAGTCAAGATTAATTCATATTAACGATATGCATCCCCGGCTCTCCCGTGTGACAGCATACATTAGGACGACTATTGCGAGTAATTAAACTCAGTGCGGGAGGGGTTAAATGTATAGCGCGGAGAGGCTCCCTCCTCACCCTGCCCTCCGCCAAAGTTTGGCCGGAGAACCCAGCGGGCAAAGCCCCTTCCCCGGCTCGGCGGACCCTCCTTTCCCTCGGACTTCCCAGTGCCAACGAGGTATTTTCTTCTTTTTATTTTTTTTTAAATTTTTTTGGGGCGTTATTTCTTTTTTTTTTTTTTTTTTTTTTTTTTTTAAAAATGAACCTCTTAATGTGTGGTTTTCTTTTTTTTTTTTTTTTCCTTCTTTTTTCCCATAAAGTGGGAGATTTTTTTCCTCCTTCTCCCGCGCACCTCCCGGCAAGCCCGCGTTGAAGCGCGGAGGGCGGCGGAGGCGAGAGCGCAGGAGCGGCCGGGGGAGCCCCGGGCGGAGGAGGGAGGCGGAGGGACCGACAGCCGGCCCCCCGCCGCCTCCCCCGCCACCGGGGGCTCTCTGCCCGGGACCTCCTGCAAACAGGCAAAAAAAAAATAATAATAATAAAAAAAATATATATCTCTCTCGTCGATGGCTTTTTCTTGGGCGTTGGAGATGCTCGATGCTTTAAGACTAATTAGACAAGCCAAAAGCCTTTTGAAGATTAAGCAAATTGGACAACCCTTGTTAATTAGAACATAATTTAAAGTTTGAAATTATATCACTCACGAAGTAGCCTAATTAGTATGACGATATGTTAATAGCCTACTGAGACACGAAGCGCGGAGGTTTGGCATGAACTCCTTAAAGGCTTGCAAGAAAATCCTCTTTCCTATGTTGTCATTAATAAAAGATTTCTATAGACTTCAGCCTTTCAACGGTGACATACAATTTATAGTACACACAATGCATTAGCCCATAGTGCTGCTCAATTTTTTTACTATTATGAAAACTAATAAATTCGTCAAGCTGAATTAAGCATACAAATCAGATGAGGCATAACAGATTACATATTGAAGCGCTGTGTCTCCCGAGCCTAAATGAAATTTCAATCTAATAATTCCTTCCTGGCCCGGCCATAATTTGTTTAGAGATGTTGTTCTACTTCTTTCCAAGCGCTATTCGCACCATAATTAAATGATACTCAAGCTTTTAACTTTGATTTATTTCATTTCTCCGAGCTGGCGACAGTGAGAGCTGATACAATGTAATTTTTTTTTTTTTTTTATATTTCCCTTAAAATTACCAAGTCTGCTGTTTAGGTGAGAAATTAAACACCTAAGCATTTATTTTAACCTTCCTGTTCCGAAGTGAAATTCATGGAAATAAACCCGGCCACCTTCAGCCAAACTGATTTGCCTCGATTTCTTTTCTCTGTCTTTTTGTTTTGTTTTGTTTTTTCTTTCTTTTTCTTTATTTTCTTCTTTTTCGAAGGGAGAGGCGGGTGGAAGTTGGCGGGACAGCGGGGCGCTTTTGCCGGAGGATCCCTCCGGGTCACCGACCTCCGTGGCGGGGTGTGGGGGGGACAGACCCCGGTGCGTGGGTGGGTTGCGGGACGGGGGGGAC